ACACACACACACACACACACACACACACACAAATGCTCAGGGACAGCACCCCGGCCCTGAGTTCAAGGCTCAGAAAAGTGTGCGCAGGCACACACACACACACACACACACACACACACACACACACACACACACACACACACACACACACACACACACACCAGAAGAAGAAAAGAAAAGAAAGCAGGTCTGCAGTGAGAGACTTGTAAAGTTAGGACAGGTCCAAGTGGTAAGGAAGTATCCTCAATTTACTCAGAGATTCAGGAAAAAGAGAAAGCCTCAAAACTAGATTTTGATTTGCAAGTTATTCTCCTCCATGAATACTACAGGATAGACTCAGTTTGATTTGATAACACAAATCAGTTATTACTTGCATGAGAAAAAACATATTTAATCTAGAATCTTCAACTACAAATATGAACAAAGAAGAATCTCCAAACACCTATGAAAACTAGCACCATGAATGACAAAAGTCAACAAGCATAAGTACTTTCCTCCAAAAATCAGAACTAAAAAAAAAAAAAGAGAAAGACTAGGACTAAATTAAAAATTGGAAAAGTTGGAGAACCCTGTCTTAAAAACAGGCAGTGAGGCACACTCCTATTGTCTTAGCACTTAGGAAGCTGAGGTAGGAGGAAAGACTATGTGAAGAAAACCTGGGATACACCTCAAGTACTTACTTCCTGCTTCAAGAAATAAAAACAAAGCAAAAAAGATTTTTTTTCTTTTTAAGGCACAGAGGCTGGGGATGTAGCTCAAGGGTAGAACACTTCCCTAGCGTATCTAAGCCCTGGCTTCAATCCCCAGCACTGCATAAAATAAACTAATTAAATTTTAGAAAAAGAACAAGCAGAAGGATGGAGAAAATGACTATGTATCAGGAAAGACCAAGATGCAAAAGGTAAAAATGGAAATACAAAGGAATAAAATGAAAAAAAAATCAATCAAAATACAAGTAAGTGACATTGAATCAATAAGCCAAGAAATAGCTGGCTATTTCAAAAAAATCAATAGAAACAGAAAAAACTTGGCTAGTCTGACAAGATACAACTAACAAGAATGGAACAGGAGATCCACCGTAGTAGAGAAGCTTCAAAGGAAAATAAAAGGAACAATTTTATTTGAAAATCTAGTTAAGCAGATGCTTCCTAGGAAATTGCCAAGGACCAGATCTTAGGAAAAAGGTAGAAAATGGCAACATACTATATAATAAAAGAAACTGAAGGGTTTTCAAAAAGCTACCTTTTAAAAAAAGGCATGAGGTCTGGACTGATTTAAGAATAAACACTACTAAAACTGAGAAAGAAATAATTCAAGTTTTAAAATCAAAACAACAACAACAACAAACACTCAAGTAATTCTGATGGAAAATTTGACCTTAGTAATAACAGAAGGAAAGAAAAGTCATTTTATCCAGTCTAGAGAAAGCATCCCACTTCATAGAGGCAGAGAAGTGTCAGGAAGTCAAGGAGCAGACAAGTGTCCAATAAGAGAATCACTTTTTAAACTGTCTTTTAATCTAAATTCTACTTAGAAAGTCTCATTATATTGAGAGTTTTGACTATGTAAGAACATGAGAAAAAAAGTAAAATGAAAACATCAAACAAAAATATATTTTGCAGCTGGAAAGTGGCAGGAGTAGGAACTGGAGCATAGGAAACAGAAGATTCCACCTCTGAAGTATTTCTGGAATATTAATCCATTTCTCTCCATCATCATATAATGAGTTTTAGCCATGATTATTATCTTGCTCAAAGTACCATAACAGCCTCTCTTTATATAAAACATATTTAACCCTATCTATATATAAAGTTATTTATATATAAAGCTTTTTGTTACTGTACCAAATACCTGAGACAATCAACTCACAAAGTTTTGGCTCACATTTTTTTTGGAGGTTTTTACATGGCTACTGTCAGCCTCTAATGATGCTTCATGGAAAGATACTGTGGCAGGGCAAAGTCATTCACTTCATGGCCACAACTCACAGATAAAGATCAGACTCCTACCATCCCTTTTGAAGCCACGCCCCCAATAAAATCTCCCTCTACAGACACTAAGGCTTGAACTCAGGGCTTCATTTTTTTTGGGGGGGGGTCTGGTTATGGGGCCTGAACTCTGGGCCTGTGTGCTGTCCCTCAGCTCTTCAGCTCAAGGCTAGCGCTCTACCACTTGAGCCACAGCACCACTTCTGATTTTTTTCTTTTTTGCTTATGTGGTGCTGAGGAATCGAACCCAGGGCCTCATGCATGCAAGGCAAGCACTCTACCACTGAGCCACCTTGCCAGCCCCCTCAGGGCCTCATATTATTGCTCTACTTTTTTTGTTCATGCCTGGCATTCTAACAATTGAGCCACAACTCCAGTTACAGCTTTTTGCTGCTTAATTGGAGATCAGAATCTAATGGATTTGTCTGATGGGCTGACAAAACTGCAATTCTTAGATCTGTGTTTCAAATAGCTAGGATTACAGACAAGTGGCACAGGTGTCCAGTTTGTGGGGAAATCTTGTCACTGATTTAACTTGTCTTGAAGACACGGGGTAATTTTTTCTTCTTTTGTCAGCTTTACCAATTTATGATCTTTATAGAATCTGTTCATATCATCTACAAATAATATTCTACAGACCAACTGAATGTGGAAACATTTAGATATCATCTATTTTCTCTTTCATTAGCAACTATTCTAGTTAGATTTACCAACTCTGTTTAGCCATAAAACGTTCACCCTTGTTAGGTATGGTTAATTATTATTTTAAGCTTCATATAATAAAGCTTGACAACACATTAAATTACCTGCAGTGAAACAGTACTATGAATATTTACCATTAACCAGGATAAAGATCATAAAGAACCTCATGGCAGTTTAAGTCAATTTTGCTATCAATTAATTAGAAAAAAGATGCTTTGAGGGACTGCTTGGAATTACATACCTGCACTCCTCTACATGTATTTTTGTTTTCCCTTTTGTGAGAACATAGAAATAAATCCACCACCATACAGGTTTCCATATACGTACCTTGTAAATGTGCTTGCTGTTTAATCTATGTGAGGTACAACTTGTCATTTTCTAAGCATTGTTTAGAAATATATTTATGTCACTGTATACACTTCATTTTTTTATAAGTTAACATTTAAATCTTAAGATTCAGCTTGAGGAAGTACTACTTGAACACGTGGATTTATTATTTTT